TTTAAATTCTAAATCTTATTCTAAATCTTAAATCTTAAGTCCTACTTCCAAGCTCTAAACTCTAAATCTTACTTCCAAATTTCAAATTTCAAATCCTAAACCTTATTGTCAAATCCTAAATCCTAAATTCTACTTCCAAATCCTAAACTCTAAATCTTAAATCCTATTTTCAAATTCTAAATCCTACTTTGAAATTATAAATCCTAATTCTTAACTTTTTTTTATTTGATTTTGTATATTTCTTTAAAAAAAAAAAATGAATTGAGGATTCTAGAAGATTGATGCCATCTCACTTTAAGCCACTACAAACTTATGGCTTCTTCTTTTTTAAGAGAAGCTATATACCAATCTTCTCTCTATAAACTTGTTGCCCGACCTCTTCTCCTTCTTTAAATCTCTATTTTTTACAAATTATAACTTCTTTTTCTATAAAAAAATTTACACCTATTTATAAACCTACTAAAAAAATATCTACTAAATTTTAAATTAAATAAATATTCTAATAATTAATTATCCTAAATCTTATTTCTTTTGTGTATAAATTTAGTTTTTATTTCTAACAACTACAAAACTTCTTGCTAATAGGATTCATTTATATATATATATATATATATATAATATTCTAAATATATTTTTATTAATCTTTATCCTAATTTAATTATTAATTAATTAGTTAATTCTAATTTCTAATTATTTTTTAAATATTTTATTTAATAAAAAAATACAAACTAAAATATATTTTGAAATATTTTAAAAATTTCTAAAAATATTAGTTTTTATATTATTTCTTATATTTTTAGATATATAAGAACTAATATATTTCATAGTTCTTTTTTAGTCTTTATATATTGTGCACAAATACAACATGATAACATTGTCAAATTATGTGTGTTCTTGCTTGAAAATCCATCACGCACTTAGTTATAGAAGATAAGTAAAAATGAAGCAACAATCTTATCAAATCTAATAAAATCTCAAATAAACTTTTAGTAAACTTCAATAATCCTAATTAAACTTTGACCAATCCAACATAAATTTAAAAAAAGTTATAAAAGAAATACAAAGAAGTCTTAAATTAATCTCAAAGAAAAATAACTAAAAATCTCAAAGAAATATAAAAATAAGCATTTAAAGAATAAAAATAATCTTAAAGAAATATTAGAAATAAAAAAAATTAAGAAACAATAAAAAACCTTAAAAAAATTTAAAAATATAAATTCTAAATAACTCCTAATTAAACTTTAATTTGATCTTAATTGAAATCTTAATGAACCTTAATTAAATCCTAAGTCAAATTTTAATTGAAAACTTAATTGAACCTTAATCAAATCCTAGATAAAATCTTAATGAAATCCTAATGAATCCTAAATCCTAGATAAATTCTAAGCAAATCTTAATCAAATTCTAAATCTTAAATAAATTCTTAACAAATCTTGTAGTAGTTTGAAACTTCAATTAATGACCAAACTATTGATATCAACTCAAAATTTGCATATTTTTTAATATCTTAGTTAAGAACAAGTATAAGAAAGATGAAATTGATTGTATTTATTAATTAAAAGAAATACAAGATAATCTAATTAGATATTGGGTGGCCTCCTAATCCAATCTAAATAGTGAACTTCTAGTGCTACTATCTCCTTAAACTATTGAATTACTCTCAAATTTCATCCAAATATTAAAAGTTAAGTTTTAAAATCCTTCAAAATTTCAATATTTATTCAAATGACATGAAACCAATACCTAAAAATATCTCCTCTAGTTTGTTCTCAAATCTCACTCTTCAATCTACAAAAGCATCTCAAATTTGCCATGTGGACATAGTTTTGTGCCTTGGGGTCTGATTTTGATCCTAGTTGACAACCTGTCTTTACCAAGTATTAATTTTTAATAATTTGAGGTAAATTTTACTTTAATATATTATTAATTCTCTCTTAAACATGCATGTATCAATTTTTCATCTCATTTACTTTGATTTGGCTTATTTATGCCTCTACAAAGTAAATAGAAGTCTCTTCTACAAAAGGTAGTATTAAGATTAAATCTTTCACTATCTTTCTATCTTCTATCGTTATTTTTCTACTACATCTTTCTATTAGGCTCTTCTTTAATAATATCCATATTTTTATTTTTCACTATATAGTTGTATTACCACATGGCAATGTATAAATGCATTCTTCCATCACTTAGTAATAAATAAAGATTATTCTAAACTCAACTCACATACATATTAAAATTTTGAAGGATTTTTCAAAACTCTCAAAAGTTAATATTCTAATCCATTCCTTTGAGTGCATTTCCATTTTACAAACATAATACTATAACCAAAACACAACTTGTGGTAATCAACTAGTTTTGTGTCCAATTTGAAATGATTTTAGATCACTATATATTCATAGGTTAATATTTTAAGATTGGCAGTTCAAATCTAAGCTGTCAAAATTCTAAACTTAATTGATAGCATTTGCATTTGCAAAATCTCAAGTACAATTAACTAATTTTACAGATAATTTACAATGATTTTAAACTACATAAAGAATGATAGAATCGTGCCATGTAAATTGACAATTCAGATCTCACAGATGAAATCCCCAACATTGACTTGTGCACTCATGCTAACATGTGCAGGCCACAAGTGGTGAGCAACTCTTGGTCTACAATGACTTAGAAGTACCCAAAGGACGAATAGTTGGTAGGATGGGAATAGCCAATTCAAATCCCAATAATAAAACCCCTAACTTTCATTAATAAATGCTAGTACGGAGTAGATATATATAAAAGTTTGATTCACTGAGGGCACTGTACGACTTCCAAATCACCAAATATGCGACTGAGGAAGCGCAGTGCAGGCCCCCCCCACACACTCACCCTCTCATTCAATAATGCTCTGCGGAATCTAGACACCACGCCGCCAAGCACGACAAACACCTAGACTGGCATCTGATCACAAACAAACACGCCTCGGACCCTGCGCTCATGCAGTTCACTCGGAGTGGCAGACACTCGGAGTTTATTCAATCCGGCTTATATTCAGTATCACCAACTGGCCACTGATCCTGTTTGTCTCATCCATGGCAACTCTCGCGACCACGACCAAGTGATGTCGATCCGATATAACGACGACACAAAACATCGGCAGGCAGCGTCGAAAAGAAACATCCTGACTTTTGTGCACCTTCGAGTCCTTGAGGTTGACTGAGTCGATGATGGGATTGGCGCACACGCTCTCGTGGTCTGTGAGCTGCCGACTGTTGTTGCTGTTGTTGTTGCCTGACTGTTCCGTGAGTTGTTGTGTCATTGATGAATCTTCGCTACCATTTTGGCTTAGTCCGATGTTGAAGACTTGTAGCTAGAAATCGTTTCGTCCACTGAGAGTTTCTGTGAAGGTATATTTGTTAAGAGAATCCTGGTTTAGACTTCGGCAGTGGAGAGTGATCAGCTGTGATGGTTCTGTTACGGCCGAACATCGTGAGTGTTGGAATGGCTGCCTTCCAAACTATGGATTCCTGCAGCTTGTTCAATCCAGCGCTGGAGCACATGAGAAAGACGTGAGATCGGTGAGCAGCCAGCGTGTCCTCTACCAAAGCCGACTCGTATAATTCGACTATTTTTTATTTGAAAGCAATCGAAACAATTTTAATTTCCTAGCCATCGCGTGGTTGGTGATCCACGCCGCCAGTGGCACTCAACGAGCTCACTCTGCATAGAATCACACCCTTCACAGAAAGAACCATGACTCTGGCTGAAATTTAGTCTTCGTCCCGAGTGTGGGCCTTTCGATACTCATGGCATTGACGAAGTCCGTGGATGTTCTCCAGTTCAGATACGCGGATCACCTAAGTCGGCGGGGTTGCGCGTGATGTCGAGGTGTACATACTAGGCAATGGCAGCACCCAATAACACTTAAAAAGTATTTCTCATTTTTCATATCGCAGTGGCGAAGGGAACAGTCGGTCCCTATTCTTCCTTTAACCGCTGCAAATAGCTCGTGTTGTAAAGGTTTCCTTCACTGATGGAAACGAATGCTTCGCGACCTACTAACAACCTCGCGGTAGGCGCTTCAGTGCCACTCGCCTCGCATGTAAAGATTGCCATTTTTCCCTCCATCGTGTCAAGCCGCGGTGGCACATGTCGCATACAATTTAAGATTACCGAATGTGCATCGCTGTCTATTTCTAAGAATGTGAATCGAATTCTTGGATTCACCATTTTTGTTGACAAAAAATTATTTTAGTAAAAGAAAAGAAAAACCTTGAGGAGCTCATGTCTTGCTTCGCCGAATGTGATGGATTTACGCACTCCAGTGTCCGTTTCACAACTTGCCCAGCGACTCTTGACCTGCCTCTACCAAAAGAACGGCAAAAAAACGTTAATTTTCCATGCTTGTGACAAGCACAAACAACGATATTGGCGATGATTAGTTTTAAAGAGAAGCGTGAAAGTCGGTAAATAAAGTTGCTCCTTCCGAATGATACTGTTACTGCACTGTCTCGCGTCACATCAGCTTGGAATCAATGATGAAATGTGGTTTAATTGGGTTTGAAACTCTACCCGTGTTGAGCGTGAGATCTATCACATACAAATTATCCGCAGCCTGAATAACAGTCACTCTGTCCACGACGTGCAGGAAAGAACTGTTGCTTTGGGACATTGGATCTTGCATTACCTCGGAGTTTAACTACGTAGAAAGGTTATCTAGAACGACAGCTTGATGAGACGTGAGGTTTCGCTGGTAAACAACTGTGAGACGTTAGTCAAGCGTCAAACGTTTAAGTAGTTTCATCATCTAGAACACCACATTCATCTTGCTCCCATGCTGAGGATCCGGTTTGTTGCCACGCCTTCACTTGACCAAGATATTTGCACTAAATCTCCAAGTAGTCTAGTACTGTTCGTTGTCAACAATTTCACATGAAACCTTTCTCAAAAAGGTCTAAAGCTTGCAACGAAGAAGAAGCAATATTCGAGAAGATGGATTCATCATATTCACATTGTAAAGGTGTTGGAAGTGAACTCATGCCGGAGAATTTATTAATAGTTGAACCCTGAATTCTGGAAAAAGTGTAATCGGCTACAATGGACCTGATCATGATTTCTCAAAGGATCCGACTATGCCTTGTTAATAAGACACGTCAACCCTGCTCTTGTGACAAAGCCAAACTGGAAACTGAGGCTAGGAAATTGAACTGGGTCTAGCTTATTGTACAAATGCATCTGTGCACCTTGCACCTCCAGGCAGTTCTACTGGGACCGACGAGCAAATTACTCCAGCGCTTCTGTGATTAAACGGGCAAGTGCACTGCTCGTCACCAATAGATTCTTCTCGGCCAGGTTGCCACTGTCTGATCTTCTTGGATTCTCAGTAATCGATTCTGTGCATCCAACGGCGTCGCCTTCTTGGCATGTGCCGGTCTTTTTCATTTGGCGCCGGAAACTTGCTATTATTTCCCTCCATGTCAATCCATCCTGTTTAACGTGCAATATCCACAAGTATAGATTACAAGGTCGATGAGAGTTTTCTTTTAGGTCAATATACCAAGAGAGCTTCGGGTACAATAGTATATGACTGCGTTGTGCACATCCGGCTATGCGTCTCTAAACTCTTCATATCGCGAACTGATAGTAGAAATCCATTCCGGAGAAAATCGAATGCAGATGCTGAGCAATGAGCATAAGGAGCGACGCCAGGAGGAAATACCTGAATGATGCTATTTTCTGATGGAGGGCACTGAACTGGCTTGTCAATCTCTTTGGGCTCTGATACATGCTCAATTTGTACGAAGGTCTTCAAAGGAGGAACGCCATGTAGTGCGGCATCAGGACTAATTCTCTTCCCCCTTACAGTGTCCACCTGCAGATAACCAACACCAAGAATTTTGTGTAATGGCATGGTATACATTCCGACAACAACAAATATTCCTATGTTAAAAAATATGGGCCGAGTTCTCCATGTAAGATAACACCACAAAATGAACGATCTCAATCTTTAAAGAAGTACGACCTGCGAATTGAACACAACCTTGAAGATTGAAAGAATTAAACCATATACAACCTGCTACCAAATTCAGAAATATGTGGAATACGTGAGGGAGAGGAGAACCTGCATACCAAGACGTAGTGCTGTTTCGGGCGGTGGCTCGTGCTATAGAACGCGAATTTTCTGAATGATCTCACCATCTCTGTCGCTACGCACCCTTCTAAATCAAATGCATTAGCACCTGCCACAAAGATATTACCAAGTTAATCCAAAAACTTCAGCAACCATCTTCGTGTACCAAAAATAAATAAAATAAAATACTCCATTCTCTCTTTTTACCAAGCCTATCGTGTGGAAATTATGCAGAAAAAAACGTGTGAAATATCTATTTCAGACTGAGAGTTAACGACGAGAACATCTTCAACAACTACCTCACCCCCAATTTGCACCCTGATCACCCACTGCGAAACTCAATCGAACAAAACCTCGAGTTCATCATTTCTCGAAAGCAACCTGCACCCAAACATTCCTCCGTTGTCAAGAAGCACCACAACAGCAACATAAACCGTCTGTTAACAAGATTTCACACCGAGGCTAAAACGAGATCACAAAGTTGTATCACGTCAATGGCAGCACCTACGAGCTCAGAACCCTGAAACAAGACCAGCTCACCAGACCTAATCTCAAAAGTAACAGAGATAAGTTCCTTACAGGTCAACCTTCGAACCAAGAACCACAGGAAAAGTACTACCAGGTGTGTAACATACAGCGTCAATGCCTTGACAAATTTTCACAAAACACGCCGTCAATACAAGACGCACACAAAAATCCTCTGAAAACAGACCGACCTTGCACGGCGATCCTTCCCTACGGCTCCGTACACGCACCAAGCGCTCACAAACAAGAAAACCAGCTTTCACCCTAATGGAGTTCCCTCCCCCACAGCACCAACCAAACACGATCCATGGAAACTGCAAAACTAACGACCGAATTCAAACGCCAAAAAGCTGTAACCACTCGAAATGCAATGCTGGGAAAATTGCTGAGCTTGAAGCTGCTGTAAGTTGGGCGTCGGATGACCCTGGCAGCAGAAGCTCCACAGCCAAAAGGGTAAGCAAGACCAAGAGGGCCGAGTCAAATGGGAACCTTGCGGATTGGGTCCAGAAGCTGAGAGGATTGTGGGGTGCGCTACCGAGGCAGCCTGCGTGGTGAAATTCACACGCATTCGCCAGATGTTGACGCCGATGGGGACCAGACTTCGTTGCACATCTGACAGCAGCAGCAGCAGCATCTGATGTGCTGCCACAGAATTTGGGTAATTGACCCAAGTGGGTGTTGCTTGTGGAAACAGAATGTTGATGCAGCAGCAACAGCAGCATTCCTTCCATAAGAGCACCTGCCCTAAAACTCTGTGCAAGGGACTTGACCAAACACCAAAACAAATCCCTCTCGCAACAAACGGAGTTCTGCTGCGCTCGGATGCTGGATAGCAAAGCCGCATGCCTTGTCCTCGCTCATCGCCACCTCTAGTTGGTGGCCTTCGTTTTCATGTGCAAAACGACCAAAACTTTTAGTTTTAGAACAACCCACATTCTAAAACTAGTTGGTGTCCAGGCAGATGGATACGATTGGGAAAAGTTTTTTGGAGATTGGATATGGTTTGATTTTGTTTCCGAAGGTTGATTCCATTAGCAATCCTTTTTATACTTTGTAGTTCTTTGAAATTTAGGACTTTGAAAGTACTCGATATTTGGCAGTTGTAATAGATGCTTGTAATTAAATAAATAAAACTTAAATTGTATGTTCTTTTTTAATAAAAAAATCAAATTTCTTTCCATCTTTGAAAAAAAATTTACTTTCTATTTTTTTTTTGTGAAATGTCATGTGCATGTTGTTGGTGGCATTGTTTGAATATTATTCTTGTGTTTTATTTTATTTCATTTTAATTATTTTTCCTATTATAAAGATTCTAGAATATTGAGAAGCTGCTATTCACATTCTTGCCTATGTTTGTATAATTGAATATAAAATGGTCCACCCCTCTTGACTAAATAACACCACCTTAATAGTACCTTGTTAACAATTCATCTTTTAACAATAATTCATTTGTAAATGAAAATTCATCTACCATGGAATATTAATGGTGTTATCTTGCTAAAATTTGCATAGCTTATTGATGATGATTATGACTTTTGGATCAAAAACTATTAAGAAGTTTGATTTGAGAAGGTCTTTGTTTTTTATGCATCGCTTTCCAATTTGGCGGTGGACCTCATCAAGGCTCTATGGATATAATTTGGAATCTCCAGGCTTGTATCCCAATATTACCTTCACTTTATAACAACTAAAGATTCAAGAAACAAAAACAACAAATTTGGTTGTTGGATCTATTTTGCTTATTTTTCGTCATCAATACTCACTCATGGAATATAATAATCTAAGAGATTTATGATAGAACAAGCAAAACTTGAGTGATTCAAGTAATGATTTAGAACCAAATAGTATCAATGATTTGTAGTGCTCAATACTACAATACTAATTTAAATTGAATTAGAATTAATATGACAAAAAAGATTGCAAAGGCTTGAACCTTCTTAGATCTATGTCACTTCTAACAAATTAGCAACTAGCTTGCAATTTTGATTACATCAGCATGTCAATCTCTATAATAACATGTTTACAATACTTAGAAACAACACTTTCTATAAGTCCATCAATTATGTTGCTTTCTTAAAAAATCCATTGTTGACCTATATTTTTCCATATAAAATTAATTTATTTTGGTTGTGGTGAAAATACTATATGAGCTATATTGAAAGAATAGCCAACAAAAAATTGAGGTGCCTTGTTCTACCTCGAAGAGTTGTAGCTCTAACATAATAAGTGCTAAGGTGGCAATTGTCTTCATCCTCATTCTAGGATTAAGAAAACTCTTGATAGCAAAGTAAGATGAATTGATGAATTGTTATAGCAAAGGATTGTTGATGTAGCCACTACACCAAGAATAGGTGTAGAGGACCAAAAATGCTCAACCAACTTAGCAAAAGAATTGCACAATTATTTGTCTTTTTGCTCAAAATCATCTTTTAATTCAAAACACTTTTTCATTCTTTGATTTTAGAACTCAAATTAATCTTCCATCGACTCATAGCCACAATAGCTCAAGTAGCAATTATCAATGGCATGTAATATAAAAATAGAGCAATAAATTTGAATTGCTCTCTTTTATATTTTTATATCTAAAACTAATTCCGATCATATGACTATTATTGTGTTATAATACGGCTATTAGGTTAAAATAGAAAAGAAAGATTATGTTATAGAATAACTTAAATAAAAATATTTTAGCAAATTATTTGAAAAATATAGATAATAGACAAGAAGGTAGTAAAAATTAATAAGTATTGATAATGCCTTCTTATAAAAGAGACTTCTACTTACTTTGTAAGGCCATTAGAAAAGGAAAACAAAGTAGATTAAGAAAATAAATCATATAAGCATCTTTAGAAATGAATTAAGAATAAGTTTTAGCAAAAATTATTCCAAATTACTAAAAATTAATATCCAAAGAGGATTAGTTGTGAATTAGGGTCAAAATTAGACCCTAAGGTAAAAAGTTGTACATCTACAGAAATTCTAGGATTCTATAATTGATTGGAGAGTGAGATTTGAGAGAAAACTAATAATATTTTTTTTTAAAAAAAAATCTATGTGATTTAGAGGTATATTGAGTTTTTGAGGGCTTTTCAAAATAAGAGATATACTCAATAGTTTTTACTTTTGAGAAATAAAAAAAAAATTAAAATTTTGAATATTATGTGAATATTATAGCAAACTTAGGAGAGAAATTTTATGAATTATCATTGTGCTTATCTTCAATGTATTTAAATGATTTGATATTAATTGAATGATTGAACAAAGCATATGAGAGTTTTATTAGGATAAGATCTTAGATTTTGAAATTTGAATTTAGTGAAGGTTTTTATGATTCTAAAAAATTAGCTAGTTTGATTGACAAAAAAATTAATGATAGTAATTTGGACTTAGAAATATATATATTAGCCAAATTTTGAAGCAATTAAATAGTTTAAGAAGGAGATATTGCTATTGAAAGATCAACATTTAGATTAGAAAAGGAGGACTGCAAACATCTAAGAGGTTTAAGAGTTTTTTTTTATTGTTAAGTTCATTTTTTTTTCAAATTTTGTATATTTTTTAATTACTTGTGGATTAAAATGCGGATGAAATTTGAATTAAAATCAACAGTTTGATTAGTATTCATTGAGATTTTAAAATAGCTATGAATTTGATTAGGATATACTTTAAATTTTCTTGGATTTATTTAGGGTTTTTTTTAGAGTCACTTTAGGATTTAATTAGGATTTGGTTTGGATTTAGGATTTTTTATGACTAATTTAGGATTACATTAGGATTTTTTTAGAATTTGATTATAATTGGTTTAGAATTTCATTGGGTTTTATTCAGAAATTGATTAGAATTTTATTAGGATTAATTTAAGATTATATTAGGATTTATTTAGATTTAGTTTAAGATTTCATTAGAATTTGATTAAAATTGGTTTAAATTTTTATTAAGATTTTTTAAGATTATATTAGAATCATTTTAAGGTTTTTATTTTTAATATTTTAAAAATATTTTTTTGATATTTTTTAGGATTTTTTATTATAGATATTTCTTTGAAATTAATTTATAGTTTTTTATGTTTCTTTTGTAATAATTTAATATTTCTTTTGAATTTAACTAAATATTGATTAAAATTATTAAGATTTAATTAGAATTTATTTAGGATTCTATTAGAGTTATTAAGACTTTTTTATTATAAATTTCTATAATTAGATATCTAGTGCATTCTTAAGCAAACTTTATAGAATATGACATTGCTGCCAAATATATGTGCAATCCAATACTAAATACAATGCATGACAAATCTTGGCAACAATAGACTCAATTGATCTTTCCTCTATATAGTAAATCATGTAATCAACATCAATGTTTGAAGCTCCAAATAAAAAAAGTTAGATGATTCAAAAATCAATTGAAAAGAATCTAAAGCCAAGTCATTGTTATATTGTGACATGACTTTATGGTAAAAGAAAAAGATATAGGTTTTTTGTAGAAGTTTTTTATTAAAAAATATAGAATCAAAATATAGATAAAAGATATAGAATTAATAAAAATATTTAGTATTAATATTTTATTCTTATAAAAAAATCTTCTACCTATTTTATATAGCAATAAATAAGGCAAAATAAAATAGATAAGAAAAAAAAATATGGATATCTTTAAAAAGAAGTTCAGAGTAGTTTATAATAAAAGTCATCTTAAGAAACTAAGAATTGATACTTGAAGAGGATTAGTTGTGAAACAAAGTTAAAATCAAACTCTATAACAAAAAATTATATATTTATAATAATAGTAATTTTTTTATAGATTAGAAAACAAATTTTGAAAGTAAATTAGAGAAAAGATATTTAAGCATTGATTTTGAGTAATTTGAGTTTATAATGATTTTGTTTGAAGAACATGAACCTCAAAGAATTAAAAGGTTAATATACTATTGTTGTCAAAGAAATACATATTTATTCAAATAATTATCTATATGATTAAGTAGAAGTAGATGAAAGTAAATTAATTTTATAATATCTTTAAGAAAAGCTTCAAAGAATCTTTATAGATGATGCCTTGATTTTATAAGTGTTTGTACTTAATTGATAGGCTAAAAACTTCATCAACAACTTAGCTTATTTAATAAGCTAATAATAATTAGTAGCTTGTACAACAAGCTAACAATGTGGCATTGTTGTATTATATAAAATCTTGCTTGAAAATATACTAGGCACCTACTTGTGGAAGGTAAAAAAAATTGCAATAAGTGCTAACAATTCTAATAGAAGCATATATAAAATAAAATTAAAGCTTAAAAAATATAATAAAATATTGATCAAGTGCAATTAAATTTTCATAGAAATTATGAAATAAAAATAAATAAAATCTAAAGAAATTCTAAAGAAATCTAAAAGAAATATTTAAAAAAACTTTATAAAATCTAAAATAACCTTAAAGAAATCCTAAATAAATCCTAAAGAAATCCACAATAATTTTAAAGAAATCCTAAAAAAATCCACAATAATCTTTAAAAAATCTTTATGAAATTTTTATGAAAACTTTAAAAAATCCATAAGAACCTTAAAAAAATCCTTAAAAAAATTAAAGAAATCTTAAACCCTAAATCCTACATCAATCCTAATTAGATCCTAAATCTTAAATAAATCCTAATCAGGTCCTAAATTCTAAACCAAATCCTAATCAAATCCTAAATCCAACTAAATCTTAATCAACTCTTAAATAAATCTTAATCAACTCCTAAATAAATCCTAATCAAAATCTAACTAATTCAAATCATTTCTAAGACAGTTTTAGAACCTCAATATCTATTGAATAAATTTTTTAACATACTTAAAATTTTATACACCTTTCAATATCTTAATTA